GGGCATAAAAGGCCCGGGCTGCGGAGCGGGTGGCAGAGCCCGACCCGACGCCCTCCAACCATGCTGGCCCCGCGCGTCGCCTGCTGCCTGCTGGGCCTGCTGGCGCTCTCCTCGGCCTGCTACATCCAGAACTGCCCGCTAGGGGGCAAGCGCGCCGCGCGGGACCTCGACGTGCGCAAGGTGAGCCCAGGGAGCCCGCCGGGACCCCGGCCCCGACCCAAGGGCGCCCCCGGGACCTGGCCCCCAACCCCAACCCCTCGCCCCGCCTCCCCACCCAACCCCCTACGCTCCCCGGGCCCACCCGGCGGGTCCTTACCCTGCCCTCCCCGCAGTGCCTGCCCTGCGGCCCCGGCGGCAAGGGCCGCTGCTTCGGGCCCAGCATCTGCTGCGGGGACGAGCTGGGCTGCTTCGTGGGCACGGCCGAGGCGCTGCGCTGCCAGGAGGAGTCTTTCCTGCCGTCCCCCTGCCAGTCGGGCCAGAAGCCGTGCGGGAGCGGGGGTCGCTGCGCCGCCGCCGGCCTCTGCTGCAGCCCGGGTGAGCCGGGGGTGGGGCGCCCGCGGCGGGTCCGGATGCTAAGGGTAGCGGGAGGGTACCCCAGCCACCCCGGCCGCCCCTGACCCAGCTTCTCCCCTTCCAGACGGCTGCAGGATGGATCCCGCCTGCGACCCCGAAGCCGCCTTCTCGCAGCGCTGACCCTCTGCCCTAGCACCCCGAGATGAGATGATGCTAATAAAGTCCCGTATCTCCCCGCTCCAGCTGACTGGCGTCTTTTGTATCTGAAATGGGAGAGGAGGGAAGGGGGTTGGAAACTGGAAGGTCGCGCCTGGTTTTGCCTTGGAATTCTCGCAAGGGACAGCTCGGAGCAGGAAAGTGCCCAGAAAAGTGCCTGGGTCTGCTCCCCAGGGGTGACACTGAGGGCTGGGGCCACAGCAGACTGGACAGCAGCGACATGCCTTGCATGTCGGGGTTCTGGATTGACTTCCCAGACTAAACATCCCCAATAATACTTGGCGGTGCCCAGAGCGCACTCCTGGCTCTGCATCAGAGGTCACTTCTGGCATGGAACCCTATGGGACACCGTTCAAGGCCAGTGCCCTACCTGCCGTACTATCTCTCTGGTCCCAAGTTTAGTCTGGGTCTCCTACTAATCTGTCTGATTTTCATTTTGTTTTGTTTCCTTTGGGGACCACACCCAGCAGTGCCCAGAGGTCACTCCCTCTGAGCTCAGTGGTCACGGGAGGATGTGGTACCGGGATTAAAGCCAGGAGTCCATGCGCAGAGCCCGCGGTCAGTCCTTTGAGCCCTGTCTCTGGCCCTGTCTGAAGTCCATCTGTCCACCTGCCCAGTCTCAGAAGACCCTGGTGGGATGGGGGAGTTGTGCCCAAGTGTCCCCACATCACTAAGCCAGATGAAGAGAGATAAGACTCGTGAAAGGCCGCGTGGCCATTACAGACCACAACAAGGGCTCTCACAGAGGCTGGGAGAACCAACCCTCTCATGTTCATTCTAGGGGTGTCTGGAGGGGAGGGTGGACTCGGGAGTGAGGCGAACACAGAGCCGGTCTTGTTCAGATCCACTGTGACCACGTACACAGACGCAGCCTGATCTTGGGGTCCTAAGGTGGAGGACCACGCCGGGACAGAGAGCTGTGCTTGGCCCCTGCAGACCACCCCTGAACTCCCTCTGTCTCCAGAGAGCCCTTTGCTTCCACCCCTCTGGCTTCTACTCAGCAGAAGGTGTCAGCCTGAGTTTCCCCACCTCGGGGTGGCATCCAGAGTCCCGTCACCTCATCCTCTCTCTGCCCACTCTTGCTCTCGGGTCCCAGGGCGGGAGGCTGAAGTGTGTTTCCATCAGTGATCAGCCAGGGACCAAAGCTGCAGACTTCATTCTGTTTTTTTTGTTTGTTTGTTTGTTTCTTTGTTTTTACTTTCTTTCTCATGTCAGGGGTAAGACCAAGATCTCATACATATAAAGTTCAGGCTTTATGCTGAATCATGTCCGAATTCTTGTTCCTTTTCTGTGGGGACCACCCCAACTGCAGCTGTCCTCGGGGTGGGGAGGGACTGGGAGAACTCCCTGGCAGTGCTCCAGGATCTGCCTAGCAGTGTGGACCTAGTAGGCCAGTGCTCAGGGCTCACTGGGGCCACACCCAGCCGTGCAGTTGGGACCAGGCAGTGTCCAGGATTAAACACAGGATGTCACACGTGCTAGGTGTGCGCTCCACCTCTTGGCCTCTCTTCTTGGCCCCTCATTCTTTATTCTGTTTGTGGGGGAAGGTTTGAGCCACCCCATCCACTGGTGCTCAGGGGCTATTTTTGGCTCTGTGCTCAGGGATTTCTCCCTCAGTGCTCAGGGACCATGCATTTCCCGGGACTGACTCAGGATCAGCCACAGGCAAGGCAACCTTATGCCCTGCTTTGTCTCTGGTCTCACCCATTATTCTTCCTCCTCAGTCCTTGACCAGGGTCCTCCCTGGAACGACCCCTTGAAACCTCCAAAGGGATGCAGCCTGGCTGGAGAGATAGCACAGCGGGTAGGGCGTTTGCCTTGCATGCGGCTGACCCGGGTTTAATTCCCAGCATCCCATATGGTTCCCTGAGCACCGCCAGGAATAATTCCTGAGTGCGGAGCCAGGAGTAACCCCTGTGCATCGCCAGGTGTGACCCAAAAAGCAAAAAAAAAAAAAAAGATGCAGCCAGAGAGATTGTACAGGGAGGAGTAGGGTTCATTTCTGGCCCCCATAGGCCCTGAACCCCACCGAGAGTGGTCCTTGAACAGTCAGGAGTAAGCCCTGAGTGCCTCTTGGTGTAACTCAAAGGGTTTTTTGTCCTTGTCCCCACACCCAAAGCAAGGGTTCTTTGGAAGGAGTTGGAAAATAAAGCAGCTAGAATATGTGCCCTATTTATTCATTATTTCATAACGGTTATGAATCTTATGAGTCTTAGTCATGACACAGAGGGAAGGAAAACTATTACAAAATAATAACAGGACCAAAGGGATAAGAAAGCAGATAGGTGATTTCCTTTTATGGAACTGTCCTGGGTTCAATCCCCAGCACCCCACAGGGTCCTCTGAGCCTGGCTAGGACAGAGTCAGGAGTACGCATCACGGTGTGGCCAAAAAACCACAAATGATAATAACAATGTTCTAATTAGCAACTGAACAGAGAAGTCTATACAGTGTGACATCCACACCATAAAGTCACCTGATGGATACATCTACTTTGAATAAATATAAGAAAATGACATCGGGAGCCATTCTTTATGAGAAGGAAAATAAAAGATAGACGGCTGGAGTGATAGTATAGCAGGGACTGCATTTACCTTGCACACAGCCTGGGTTCGATCCCAAGCATGTCATATGGTTCCCTAAGCACCACCAGGAGTAATTCCTGAGTGCAGAGCTAGGAGTAATGCCTGAGCATCACCGGGGTTGCAAAAGAAAGAAAGAAAGAAAGAAAGAAAGAAAGAAAGAAAAGGCAAGAGGATCAAAACTTCTCTTTTGTGCCTTAAAAAAAGACAAAGTATAGAAGACCCATCATAGCTGACAGGTCACTTGCCCCTGAATTAATCTCTAGATTCAACATATTGAGGTCAAACACCCAGAAGGAATTATGGCGCAGAAATCATGACGCTGCTTTAAAACCCACAGAAAATGGCAAAGGAGCTGAAGCAGCCAAATGGTCTTGGAAAAGTGGGAGAGTACCACACCCTAGTTCCCAGCAGATGCTGGGGAAGCACAGGTTAAGGCCCTGCCTGTCTCATCTGTGGGAGGCCCTGACTGTGACCCTCAGCGTCACACAGCAGCATTTCCTCTGAAAAGGAAGGCGCTGAGTCAGCCTCCAAGGCTCCGGAGATGCTGACCAAGAATTTCCCGTTGTGGGGCTGGAGACAGAGTACCTGTCAGAGTTTGGCCCACCTTGTCTGGCCCAACCAGGTTCCATCGCCGGCATCCCACATGGTCCTCTGAACTCATTCCTGATGCAGAGCCAGGAACAAGCCCTGAGCACCGCTGAGTGCCCTCAACCACCCTTCCCCCCACAAAAAAAAAAAAAGCAATTCTCATTAAGGGGCTGGGTAGACAGTGTCGGGCTTGGATTGAACTCCAGCATCTTGCCAGGCCACAACACCACCAGGGCCAGCCCTGGAGACCCATAGCATCACTGGGGTGACCTCGGCAGCCCCAGCACGGCAAGACCCAGGCAGGTCACACCTTTAGGATTCAGCCTCGACCCACCCACCCAGAGGGCCAAGTGTCACTCCCAGGGCACAGCTTGAGACCCCTTAAAAAGAAATTTTCCAGCTGTTTGAAGGAAAGATGCATCAGGCTGAGCTTTGTGCATTGAGGGAGACCAGCCCATGAATAAAAGTCCTTTCCCCTGGTGGGGAGAGGTGAGCAGCCAGAGCGCCCCCAGGCGGGCAGGAGACTGCGTGGAGGAAAGAAGAGAGAGGAAGGGCTCTGGGGGGTGCCTTGGCATGGGCAGACACTCCTGACAGATGTGGGGGTCTCTGACTCTGCACCAGGACATCAGGGCCTTGCTGTCCCGCTAAAGCACCCAGGCTGATGCCCAGAGCCTGCCTCGCCCCACCCCGTCTGCTTGATGACCTTGATAATTGCCCCTATCATGTCGCTTCAGGACTCTGCCCTCCCACACCCGCAGACTGAATCATACTGTGCACTAGCAGGGTCGGGGACGTGAAGTGGTGGCTGGACCCATCCGCGTGTGACTGTGGCTGAGCCAGGGGGGGACCCGGCTGACACTGACTCTTCCCGCTGCCATAGGGTCTCCAGAGCCCAGCCAGCATTGGTCCCTGAGCACTGAGCAAGAGACAGGCGCTGACTGAAGGGTGCAGTCCAGGGCGGGGTAGTGTCCAGCGCCCGAAGGACTTCCCCAGACCTGACCGAGCTGGGGGTGGAGGCCGAGGTGCGCGTCCCCTGTCCCCCTTCTCTTTCCTCCCCACCCCCCAATCAGAGGCAGACACAGACAGTGCATTGGAAAGGTTTATTGGGGCAGTGGGTTCTGGGGTTCTGGGGTTCCTGGTGTCGCGGGCGGTGCCGGCTCAGTAGTCTCCGGGCAGCGCGGGCTGGCGGGGCGCCACCAGCTGTACCAGGCGCAGCAGCAGCGCCCCGGCCGGCCCGTCCAGCCCAGTCGCGTTGCTCCTCTCGGCGGGGCGCGCGCGGCGCTGGGGGTCCGCGTCCTCCCCGCACTCGGGCGTCGTCACGCAGCTCTCTGCGGGGGGCAGGTGGCGAGCGTGGGGCGCGAGGAGGCGGGGGCCAGGGTGCGCACGTGCCCGAGGCCGCGGCCAGCCACTCCCGCCCCGCGCGCCCCCACCCCACCCCACATCCCGCCCCCCGCGCCCCGCACCTTCGTTGCAGCAGATGCCGGCGGCGGCGCAGCGGCCCCCGCTCCCGCACGGCTTCTGGCCCGACTGGCAGGGGGACGGCAGGAAAGACTCCTCCTGGCAGCGCAGCGCCTCGGCCGTGCCCACGAAGCAGCCCAGCTCGTCCCCGCAGCAGATGCTGGGCCCGAAGCAGCGGCCCTTGCCGCCGGGGCCGCAGGGCAGGCACTGCGAGGAGGGCAGGGTGAGGGCGCGCCGGGCGGGCCGGGGACGGTGGGGCGGGCGCGGAACGTTGGGTCGGTCCTGAGCACGGGGCTGAGACTCGCTCCTTTGGTGTTCCAGGGGTGCCAGGGGCCTGGGTCTCCCTCTGCCACAGCAAGGCGCCCCCATCTCCCCTCTGTGTGTGTGCTCCTCTGGCTGGCTTCCTCTCCAGCCCTGTTTCTGTCAGCCGGATTTCTAGCAACACCCGTCTCAGGTCGCCCCTGGAAACTGCCAGGCCTCCCTCCACCCCAATTCAGGCCTCTGGTTACCCAGCACGCAGGATCTGAGCCCTAAGGTGCCCTGGAGGGGCCCGGGCTCCCCCAGAGAGGGCGGTGGTGCAGTGAGCAGAAGGAAGGGGGACACCCCAAGCCTTGGTTTTCCTTGGCGCCCAGAGCTGACCCAGTCCCCATTGCTTGCTCTTTGGAAAATTGGGGGCACGGGGACTGAACTGGGCATACAGAGGGGGAAATTGGGCCGGGCACCCTACAGGACTGTCCTTGTGGGTGTTTGGTGGAGCCCACTGAACTCAGCATTGGTCACTGGAGAGACAGAGCTAAGAGATGGGGGACAGCTAAGAGATGGAGAGTAGGATAAGACTCCGTGGGAAGGGAGAGAGGCTTTGGAAGAGAAGTCAGGTGGAAGAGGTTCCTGGGGGCCCCCGTTATCCCTGGTCCAGTTACCATCTCTTCCCGGGAACTCACACCCGTAAGGACAGTGGCCAGGCAGCAGGACATGCCCTTGGCCTGCCCCGACAACCCTCCTGCTCCCGAGCTCGGCCCTTTGAGCCCTTCTGCTCCCCCATTCCCCACTTTCCCAGTGGGGGGCTGTACCTGTCTCAGCTCCAGGTCGGAGATGGACCTCTTGCCGCCCCGCGGGCAGTTCTGGAAGTAGCAGGCGGAGGTGAGGGTGGTGAGCGCCAGCAGGCCTAGGGCACAGGCGGGTAGGGCCATGGTGGTGCGGACGGGTTCCACTGCTCACTGCCTGGGCCGCTGCCTATTTATGCCTGCAAGGTGCCTGGGCCCCCCTCCCCAGCAGCTCCCCAGGAGCCCAGGGCCACCAGGTCCCTGATTTGTCAGCGGTGAATCAGGCGTCTGGGGACACACGTGGGCCTGCCGGTGTGTGTGTGTGGGGGGGCGCGTGGGGGAGGAGCTGTCACCGGTGGCGGTGTGATGGCTGGATGAGACAGGAACTGCAGGGACGAGCTGGAGTCAGAGAGGGACACAGGCAGAAGGGGGTCACCTGGTGGCTCTCCCCACACTGCATGCAAGGCAAGTGCCCTTCCCACTGAGCTATTTCTCTGACCCTTCCCTGCTACCCACCCCCCTCCACTACTTCTGAGCGTTTAGGCATTTCTAGAGTACCCGCTTAAGGACCATTTGAACCTGGCCTTTGTTGCTTGAAATTTTATGGTAGGGCCCTCTGAGTTTTCCAGGCTCCAGTTGTAAAGTAAAGAAGATTCTGGAAGCCCTGAGGGTTGACAGGACTCAAAGAGTAACCTTGGAAAGCTTTAGCATGATGCCTACAGAGCTGTGATGTTGATTAATAGCACTATCATGTTGTCGATCCCATCTTTCTTGGTAAGAGCTGAAGAGATTTTTCCAGAGAGTCGCTTCCTGAGTGAACCCAGGAGGATCATTTTCATCCCATTCAGAGCCGAGCCTTGATCCAACGCTTGCCCCTGAGTCCCCTCTGAGTCTCCTCAGACCCAGGTGGGAGCAGCTGTGGGGTTAGCGCTCAAAGTAGGTAAACCCTGGCACAGGTGGGCCTTGCCCGAGGTCACAGCTACTCTGAGAAGCGCAGAGGCTGGTGCCCAGGCAAAGCTTCACTGTCCTGTCCGCAGGGCTAGTTAATGTGGGTAACAGGGAGAGGGTGCGAGACTGCAAGGAAGACAGACAGCAGGATTAGAGTATATTAGGCCGAAAGCTGCTTTATTGTAAATTCAACAGCATTTATATACATTGAGCTTAAGCATTTTTCCTCAAGGCTTTGGGACAAAGGCAGATAAAGGTAGTCATGGGACAGATGGGGGAGACAACAGCTTATCAGGGACTCTTCAGAAGGCTACTCATTTTAAATCACAGGCTGACATCAAGTATGTCACATACTGGGGCTGGAGGGATAGCACCGCGGGTAGACTTTTGTCTTGCATGCGGCCAACTGGGTCCAATTCCCAGCATCCCATATGGTCCCCTGAACACTGCCAGGCGTAATTCATGAGTGCAGATCCAGGATTGAACCCTGATCATTGCTATGTGTGACCCAAAAAGAAAAAGAAAAGAATTTCATTGGGCTAGAGCAGTAACACAGCAGGTAGGGTGTTTGCCTTGCACGCAGCCAACCCAGGTTCAATTCCCAGCATCCCATATGGTCCCCTGAGCATGGCCAGGGGTAATTACTGAGTGCAGAGCCAGGAGTAACTCCTGTGCATTGCCAGGTGTGAACCCCCCCAAAAAAACACCTCAGCCCCCCTCTTTTTGGCCTACCAGCCTTTGATTGTCAGAGGTCATCTTCACCCAAAGGCCAGCAACCCAAGACCAGCTGCTTGTGCCCCCTCTGCCTCGCATTCCACCTCCTACATGAGTGCCCAGAAGGACTGTGGTGGGCCGGTGTTTCCAGGTTTGGGGGTACCAATGTCCTCAGATGGTGGGGGTGGGGCAGAGGCAGGCCGCCCGCCAGGGGGCACAGTGCTGAGGGCTGGCTCTGCGGTGCTCTCTAGGGAGGTCAGTGAGCCCGCAAGCCCGCCATGTGGCCCAGCCAGGAAGTGCCGATGAGTGCTGATTTGGGTGAGGTGGCAGGGGACTGCTTAGTCAGCCGACCCCACACCCGGGCAGCAGAGCCTGGGCTTCCACCCTCTTGCAGCTCAGTGGGCAGTTCCCCCTCCTTTAGTTTTGGTTTTGCAGCCCACTGGCAGTGCCCAGGGCTCTCTCCTGGCTCTGCACTCAGGGATCACTCCTGGCAGTGCTCAGGGGGCCACATGGGATGCCAGTTACATAGAGATACAGGCTGTACTATCTCTCCGATCGTGTGATTTTTGTTCAAGGAGCAGGACTCCTCAACCTTCAAGGATCCGCTAAACACTGATGTGGAACCCCACCCTGCCTAGGACTCCTTCCCCCTCGCTTTCCCAGACACACCTATCTAAACTCCAGCCCCGACCTGAAAATAAGATTTGTGTGTTGTTTTGTTTGAGGGCCCTCAGGGCTTCCTCCTGGCTCTGTGCTTAGGGATTACTCCTGGAGGTTCTCGGGGTGACAGGGATGGAACCCCTCCCACTGTCCTGTCTCTCCAGCCCAGTAAAGTGTTTTGGTCATAAGTCTACATTTTCTTGGGTTGCTAGCACCGGAATAAACCCACATTTTCTGTGATTTGTTTTTCCTTTTATTTCTTTTTGGGTCACACCCAGCGATGCATGGGGGTTACTCCTGGCTCATGCACTCAGGAATTACTCCTGGCGGTGCTCAGGGGACCATGTGGGATGCTGGGAATTGAACCTGGGTCAGCCGCAAGCAAGGCAAACGCCCTACCCGCTGTGCTATGGCTCCAGCTCCAGCCCCTGTGATTTGTTTTTTTCTTGCATCAAAGGTTGTCCCTTGCCTAACTGGCCTTCAAAAGTGGTCTGCACCAGAACTTGAGTTGGTAATGAGTTGAATTTAAAAGATTTTTACTCCGTGACATTTGCGATAGCTGTGAAGTGATGGGAGGTCACGAACATTTCGAGACGTGGCTGAGGCACAGGTGCTATTAAGTCTTGTGCTGTGACCAGCTCATCACTGACAAATGGGCTGGTGGAAGTTGGGGGGAAAAAAGACCTTTTCCGCTGCAGGCTCTGGGGGCTTGGAGCAAAGTGGGGGCCAGATGGAGCTCCAAGAAATTCAGAATCAGGAAGCTGTGACTTTCTTTCTTTGTTTCTGGCCCGCACCCAATGATGCTCAAGGGTTGTCCCTGACTCTGCACTCAGGAGTCACTGGTTGTGCTCAGGGGACTATATGGGATAGCGGGGAATCAAACCCAGGTTGGCCTGTGCAAGGCAAAAGCCCCAGCTGCTGTGCTATCTCTCAGACCAGAAGTGCTGGAGCGATAGCACAGTGGTAGGGTGTTTGCCTTGCATGCAGCTGGCCCGGCTGAGCCGGGTTTGATTCCTCTGCCCCTCTTGGAGAGCCCAGCAAGCTACTGAGAGTATCTCGCCCGTGTGGCAAAGCCTGGCAAGCTACCCGTGACGTATTCAATATGCCAAAACCAGTAACAACAAGTCTCAAAATGGAGATGTTACTGGGTCCGCTGGAGCAAATCGATGAACAACGGGAGGACAGTGACAGTGACAGTGAAACTTCATGAGGTACAGTTGAAGACTTACAAATTTTTGTGCTTGGGTTTAAGTTTGCTCAATGATTGAGTACCCATCCCTCCACCCGTGCCCATTCTCCACCTCCAATGCTCCCAGTATCCCTCCCACCCCTCATCCCCCCATCCCAACCTGCGTCTGTGGCAGGGCATTCCCTTTTGTTCTCTCTCTGCTTTTGAGTGCTGTGGTTTGCAAAAGAGACACTGAGTGGCAATCATGTTCTGTCTATAGCCTACTCTCTGTAGCATCTCCCATCCAGGGAGGATCCTCCCAACACCCTTTATTTGGTGCTCCCTTCTCTATCTGAGCTGCCTTTTCCCCTAGCATGTGTGGCTGGCCTCCAAGCCATGGAGTGAACCTCCTGGTACTTATCTTGGCTATCCTTGGGTGTTGGTCTCCTACTTTGTTACTTTATGTTCCCCAGATGAATGCAATCTTTCTATGTCTGTCCCTCTCTTTCTGACTCATTTTGCTTAGCATGATACTTTCCATATAGTTCCACTTGTATGTAAATTTCAAGACCGCATCTTTTCTAACTGCTACATAGTACTCCATTGTGTAGATGTATCAGTTTCTTTAAGCAGTCATCTGCTCTCTGGCACTCAAGTTTTTTCCAGATTCTGGCTATTGTAAACAGTGCTGCAATGAACAAACAAGTGCAGATGCAGAAGTGACCTTCTTAACAGAGGACAGTTCGAGAGGGCAGAAGCAGGAGGTGAACCCCTTTCCCCGACCCCCAAACACAGGGGTAGCTGCCCTGCAGACCCTCACCACCACGCTGGGTATTCTTTGTCTGATGGCATATTGCTCCGTGTGAAGATACTTTCGGACTCCAGTCACCACACCCCTCCCCGTGGACTTCCTTCCCTGCAAAGCGGTGCTCCCCTCGATCACCCCTTAAGCCACACGCTGACCTTGGACCCGGCAAATGAGCTGGTCAGACACGGGGCGCACGAGCTTGACCTACCGCGACCTGCTGTGACCAGCCATACAAGTCGCCTTCTTAGACGCTCCCCCACCCGCGCGGACCCACGGGCATAAAAGGCCCGGGCTGCGGAGCGGGTGGCAGAGCCCGGCCCGACGCCCTCGCAACCATGCTGGCCCCGCGCGTCGCCTGCTCCCTGCTGGGCCTGCTGGCGCTCTCCTCGGCCTGCTACATCCAGAACTGCCCGCTAGGGGGCAAGCGCGCCGCGCGGGATCTCGACGTGCGCAAGGTGAGCCCAGGGAGCCCGCCGGACCCGGGCCCCGACCCAACGGAGGCCCCGGGACCTGGCCCCCCACCCCAACCCCTCGCCTCGCCTCCCCGCCCAACCCCCCACGCTCCCCGGGCCCACCCGGCGGGTCCTTACCCTGCCCTCCCCGCAGTGCCTGCCCTGCGGCCCCGGCGGCAAGGGCCGCTGCTTCGGGCCCAGCATCTGCTGCGGGGACGAGCTGGGCTGCTTCGTGGGCACGGCCGAGGCGCTGCGCTGCCAGGAGGAGTCTTTCCTGCCGTCCCCCTGCCAGTCGGGCCAGAAGCCGTGCGGGAGCGGGGGTCGCTGCGCCGCCGCCGGCCTCTGCTGCAGCCCGGGTGAGCCGGGGGTGGGGCGCCCGCGGCGGGTCCGGATGCTAAGGGTA